GGTGGATGGGTGGGTTGGTGGGTGGGTGAACAGGTGGATGGTTGGGTGGATGAGTGGACGGGTGGATGGTTGTTTGCGTAGCTGATTAGGTGGATGGTGGTTGAATTGATGGTTGGTTGGTTGCGTGGGTGGGTGGGTGGATGAGTGGATGGTTGGTTGGAAGAATGAATGATTGGTTGGATGGGTGCATGGTTGGCTGGCTGGATGATGGTTGTTTGGATGTGTGGATGGTTGGTTGAATGGGTGGATGGTTAGTTGTATAGGTGGTTGTTAGGCTGGTTGGTTAACTGGGTGGCTGATTGGTTGGATGGGTGGACGGACGGTTGGATAAGTGATGGTTGGTAGGATGGGTAGATGGGTGGGTGGGTGGGTGGATGAATGACTCTTTGGTTGGATGGGTGGCTGGTTGGGTGGATGGTTGGCTGTTGGTTGGATGGGTGGCTTTTGGGTGGATGGGTGGATAGTTTGTTGAATGAGAGGCTGGTTGAGTGGATGAGAGGATGGTTGTTTGGAAAGAAGAACATACAAACAGATCTGTTTCTCTAGAAAAATCTGACTAAATGTTTTTCGTTTGGTACTGAGAGTAAGCAGTGGTTTGTACAAAGAGCAGACTCAGTATAGACGTACCCACGTGGGAGAACCTGTTTACAAACCAAAGAATACACTGGAGAAGGGTGCTAAACATACTGTGGACTGTTAAAGGAACAAGCAGGTCCGACCTGCAGAAGGGGAAACCAGGCTGCTTCTTGGAGGCAAAGATTTTGATGCTCTGTCTGATGTAATTTGAGCATGTTGCCAGGAGGGACCAGTTCTTGGAGAGGGACATCTTGCTTGGAAGGGTGGAGGGACAGCACAAGAGAAACGGATGAGATAGATTGACTCAGTGACTAGGATAATGGGGATAGGTGTGTCAGCAGCAGTGAAATTGGCTCAGGATAGAGCAGGGTTCAGATCTATTGTACGTAGGGTCACCATGAGTTGGAGTCAATTTGATGGAATGTAACAATCACCACCAAGAAGGGACCTTTCCCTAGAGAAGATGCCTTCATTTGGACCTTTTGCCTCCAGTCTCTGTTTCTTAAAGCCACCCACCTGGGCTGTTTACCTTACAGCAGCCTCACGTTCCAGAGTGTGGCGCACAGCCCAGCCCTGGAACCTTTAGTATCACTCAGCAGCTGGTAGGCTATCACTCATCTGTCCCCCATTGCTGTAATAACTGGGCTTTATCTTGTGTTTCTCATCTTCCCTTATCTCCTTTTTACTGCTACACCAGCAGTCAGGAAATTAGGAGACATATTGCACTGGGCCAATCTGCAGTCAGGGGCTGCTCCAAAATATTGAAGAGCAATGTAGTCAGTTTGAAAACTAAGGTGCACCTGATTCCAGACCTGAACTTCTTTATTTTATTTTATTTTATTTTATTTTTATTTTATTATTTTTGTGTGAGTGTACCGTCAAATCAGATCTGACTGGTACAGGAGGAGATTGTCCCTCCTTCCCCGGCAGAGCATCTGGTGGATTCGAACCGTGGGCTTCTGGGATTGTAGTTGCAGCTCCTTGCCACTAGGCCACCAGAGCTCCCCTGACAAGAACTTCTTAATCACCTGCTATGCATCAGAGAGCTGGACAGTGAGTAAGGATGACAGAAAAGTCGATGCCTTTGAGTTGTGGTGTTGGAGAAGAGTACTGAATATCCCACGGATGGCCAGAACCAAACAGATAATGTTTTAGAAAAGGTGCGGCCAGCGTTCCTTGGAGGCAGGGATGGCCAAGCTCTGTCTTTCATACTTTGGACGTGTAGCTAGGCGAAGCTCTTCCTCAGAAAGGGACACCATGCTTGGGAAGATGGAGGATCTGTGAAGGAGAGGAAGACCCTCAATGAGATGGCGTGACACTGTGGCTTCAGCAGCGGATTCAAATGTCTCGAGACGATGAGATGCCACAGGACAGGGCAGGGATCGGAACGGTGCACGCGACTCGACGGCACCCACAGGACTGAGCGGTTAGACCTGAGAGCATGGGAGTTCGGAGGTGGCATAGATGAGCTGTGGGGGCACCGATGTCCGTAGGCCAGAGATTTTGAAGGGATGCCAGCTCACATCATTCCTGCGGATCAAGAGTTGGCGAGCTTTTTCTGTAACGCCTGAGATAGTAATTCTTTCTGGCTTTTCAGGCAAATGTACGGTCTTTTCTGCCGTCACTAAATGCTGCAGTTGACTGAATGGACGTGGCCAGAAGCCAGTAGAACTATTTCTGGACATCGACACATGAATCTATCATTTTCACTTGTCAAAAGATGTTATACTTTTCCCCTTGCAACTCTTTAAAAATGTGTATAAACTCTTCTCAGCTTTCAGGCTGTGCAGAAACAGACAGAAGACTAGATTTGGCCCCCACCTTGCAGTTTTCCGCCTCTTGCTTTAAATGAACAGGAATTTATCACCCTGCAGTTCCTTTGCGATTTTAAGTACCACACACGCCTGACTGAGGAGAGAGGCCGCTCGCGGGCTGCAGGCGCTCGGGAAGCCCCTCTGGTCTCTGGTCTGACCTGTCCCTACTCTAACCTGCAGGATTTCCCCATCCTGCAGCCTCCTACCTCCATGATGATTGCTCTCTTCCCCCATGTCCACGTCGCGCAAGCCAACCCGAGCTTACAGACTCGGATCTGGTGATGGGACGGGACCTCGTAGCTAAGAGGGTCTGAGGCAGGCGGGTGCCCCGACTCCCAAGGGGCCCCATGCTGGAGAGCGGCTTTTCCAGGCCGCCCGGTGCCCTCTGTCCTCAGCCCTGTCCACTCGCCCCCAGCTCCATGGTGATCCGGGACTTGACCCTGCGCAGCGCCGCCAGCTTTGGCTCCTTCCACCTGATCCGCCTGCTTTATGACGAGTACATGTTCTACCTGGTGGAGCACCGGGTGGCCGAAGCCACTGGGGAGACGCCCATCGCCGTGATGGGAGAGGTGAGGCGCCCACCCTGGAGGCTGGGGTGGGGGAGAGGGTGGGGGGGAGGCCTCTGAGACGCAGACCCCAGAACAAGGGTGGAGGGGAGACGTGACAAGTCCCACGTGAGCTGGTAGTGAGAGAGACCTCAGAGCCAGTTTCCTACCCCACAGCTGACCCAGGGGCACCCCTGAGTGCATCTCCTGCCCCAGAAGGCAGTCCTGTGGGCTCGTATGAGTAATACACCTTTCTAACCAACTTAAAATGCTCTGTGTGGTGCAGCTGTCAATGCTGGCTGCTTCCAGAATGGCTCCATCCCTCCAGAGAGAACCCACCCCGTGAGCAGTCACCCCCATGCCGACCGCAGGCAGCCCCTAAACTCACCTGTCCTGGGTTTTTCTGATGCGTGGAGACCCGATCCCAGTGCTCTTGTGAGCGACTTCTCACGTTCAGCGTCTTTTCAAAGCTCATGTTCTCACAGCGATCAGGATCTTCCTCCTTCTTCACCAAAACCCCACAGCAGTCGTCCGGTCAACTCCGAGGCATTCCACTGTGGGCTGAACTCTGCTGGGAGTCCGGCCCTCTGTGGATGGCACTGTGTCCTGTCCCGCTGCAAGTCCGTCCCACCATAGACGGGCGCTGTGACCTGTCCCTCTGTGGACGGGCACTGTGGGCTGTGCATGAGCACTGTAGCCAGAGCATGGGCGCTGTGACCTGTCCCACTGTGAGTCCGTCCCACCATAGACGGGCACTGTGGCCAGTGGATGGGCGCTGTGACCTGAGGATGGGCGCTGTGACCTGAGGATGGGCGCTGTGGCCCGTGGATGGGCGCTGTGGCCTGTCCCACTGCGAGTCCGTCCCGCCATGGATGGGCACTGTGGCCTGTGGATGGGCACTGTGGCCTGTCCCTCCATGGACG